ATATATATATATATATATATATATATATATATATATATATATATATATATATATATATATATATATATATATATATATATATATATATATATATATATATATATATATATATATATATATATATATATATGTATAACTGTACACTTGGTGAGCAGAAGAGCGATCTTCAAAAACATAAAAAATTCATACTGTTTTGACACTTTTGCCTGGCACTGTACATTGTTGATTTCCTACATAGTCCAATAAAGGATTTTTTTTTTTTGCCCTTTAGTTTGCATTTATGTTTTGTTTAAGTCATCTGGATACCCCTCCAATCTCCATCTCCAAATAAATGAACAATTATCATATATTGTGTCATGCAGCAGGTTAGACAGACAAATGACTTATCATTGGAGCCTTGTCCTATCTTTTATGGTTAGAAAACGTGTAATATTGAAGAGAAAAGTCCTTTTATTTGAACCAGTCAAAATAGGGCTTCTGTAGCTAGAATGAATGTTTAACTTGACAAAACCTTGTCAAAAAAAGTTTAAATTTAGCAATATTTAAACTGTTATGCAACGTTAAACAAGGTCATGAGAAACTTGCTGTACTTAAGAAAACAAAGAAAACTCAAGACTTTTAATGCGTCACAGAAAATGACAAATATTTAAGTTGGCAAGACTAAAAAATGAATGTGCTTTTTCAATAAACGTTGAAAGTTTTCCAAATCTGACATTTACTTCTGACATTAAATGTAAATGTCTGATGTACAGTTGAAGTCAGAATTAATAGCCCTCCTAAATTATATGCCCCCCGTTTATTTTTCCTCCAAATTCTATTTAACAGAGAGAAGATTTTCTCAACACATTTCTAACACAATAGTTTTAATAACTTATTTCCAATAACTGATTTATTTTATCTTTGCCATGATTACAGTAAATAATATTAGACAAGATATTTTTCAAGATACTTGTATTCAGCTTAAAGTGACACTTAAAGGCTAAATAGGGTAATTAGGCAAGTCACTGTATAACATATTGCTAAAGGGGGCTAATAATTTTGACCTTAAAATGGCTTTTAAAATTTTTAAAACTGCTCTTATTCTTTCTGAATTAAAACAAATAAGAGTTTCTCCCGAAGAAAAAATATTATAGGAAATACTTTGAAAGATTTCTTGCTCTGTTAAACGCTGTTTGTGAAAAAAAAAAAAATATATATATATATATATATATATATATATATATATAAATAATAATAACAGGAGGGCGAATAATTCAACTGTACATGCTAATGCAAGTATTTACAAACCAAACCATAAAAGCAAACATAAGATTATTAATGTACTCAAAAAAACCTACGTAAAAAAGAAACATGCAAACATTCAGAAGACACATTTCGTCGAGATAATAAAGAGCGCTGAAACATACAGTAATCAGATAAGATCACATTTATTTCCTCAGTGCAGATATACCAGAATATAAATATATTATTGATAATTATTTTCTAAAACATGACATCATTACAAAATTTGCGGTACGCTACATCAGTACCTCAGCTACAGCCATACACACACCAGACGATGTTGATATGCTGAAGAAACAATGACAAGCTGATCAAGTCGGTCCAAATGTTGACTCTGCAGTGCTTTCATATCCTCAAGTGAAAAGTGTTCAGAAACGATAAGAAATGAAATATGATTTGGAATGCTTTAAGGTGAAAGGTGAAACAAAAAATTCTTTAGTTAATCAAATAAAAATCTGACCCACTTAGAAGGGCAAGATCATGAGCAATTCATTAAGAAGCCTGGCTCAGCAATTGAACAAATTGTTAAAAAGACACAAATAAATTAAATCAAGACAAGCTTTCGGAATAGACTGCGTGTGTCTGTTTGTGCGCGCAGCAGTGTGTTCCACAGGGAGAAAACGCACGCTGTTCCAGCTCAGCCCTCCATTTTCTGCGATGGCAGGGGCCGGTTGGGTCCTGCGTCCTAATATGGCACAGCGGAGAGCAAGTCATCTTGGGAGATTCTCTCCCTTGAGAGCGCTAGCCCTTGACTTTGATTTCAGGAACAGAGCAGTTTTCCCACAGGAAAGAAAAAAGCAGACTTTGGCATCAAAAAAACACACAAATAAGCCTTCTGGCATTAAAATGTCCCAAAGGTCAAAATCTTTCAGCTTTTACGCATGACAAACTTGACAAACTTTTACTCACGACAAAAGTACCATTGCCTATGAAGCACAGCATGCAATGCCGACACCAGTTTGGGCAGTGTTAGAGCCTCAAAATCCATTCTTATTTCAAAACATACAATGTACATAAAACCAACTTACAATATCCTTCAGACAGAAACAAGTTTATAGAAACAACATCTGAAAATAAGCAGATACTCATGCTTCGAGATTCAGATTTTCATAGGAATTATCCCATCTACAAATTCAATAAATTTTTTGTTGACCGATGAGTAAGACCTCAGAATCAGTCTTAATGAAAGTAACAAATGGATGGTTTCTCAAAACTCAACCAATCTAAAAACGGATGTTTTGGAAGCAGCTTTTCAAGCATGACCATTAAATACACCGTTTAATTTAATTCCCTCATGTAAATACGAGGACTGTTTCTTACAATGAGGAGGAAGAAATCCAGAGCTCCAGGGGCATTATAAAGTCTAAATAGCAATCAAGACGAATGCTAAAAACAAGTTCTTGGAATAGACATGGGCCTTTGTTCTGTTTAAAGCACATACACATCCATGCATGTGTGCGCACAAACATGGTCATGTGCGATCAATAAAGCGATGGACGGTTTAATGGCTAAACTGAGATACGCAAATTCTTTCAGCTCTGGTTTAAAAACAGCCTATGGTCAGAGGCAACAAGATCAAGATGTACATTTGAACAAGCAAGTCGGGACACTTGGGGAAAGAAAATACAAGCCCTTTTTCTATTGTGTGCGATATGTTTTCTATCACTATCCAGCTCTCTCTAGTGAGTGGAAGTATTGCACAGCAACCTGCCATGATACGGCAGTTTTTAGACTTTACACATCATCTATCAAAAGCTTGACCATACACTCGAAGAGAGACTTTTGAAGTCATAAGACACTTCTTCACATCACAGTATTACAATTATCAAAGCAAGTCTATAGGCAATTCATTCATTAATCAAAGTGACATAGCATACAACTAGATCTGACAGTCAAAGTACTGTATTTGTGATCAAATTAGAGAATGGCGTGATACAAAAAGAAGAATTTGGGAATATGCCATTATATATAACCCACTCTGATGGAAAACATTCTCTTAAAACAATTTAAGAGAAGGTAAAGGTCATAAATATCCTTTCATTAAATATAAAGAGGAATGCAGACTGTTTTTCTGTTATAGAATAAACGTCCTACTACAAAGAAGCAATCCATTCAACAAGTATTTTCAATCTTCAAACATTTTGTAGCTCCTGTATATATACACCTAATATTTAAAAAAATAACTCAATCAGAGTACACCAATAAATATTGTTACTTTGGTCAACTATAAGGACAAAGCTATCTGCATAAGAAACCATTAACAGTACCATCCAAATGAGTGTATTTATAATCAGTCACAGCATGAAAATAAAAACCACAAATAACAATTTTCTTGGCATCTCCACATATGAATTATGTACAGAATCTGTGTAAGAGGCTTCTTAAATGTTTCATTAAGATAAATAGTACAGCGCAGAAAGATCCCAATGTGGAAAATTTTCCATATAAATCTGACCTCTGATATTATTATTCAGTAGATTTTCCTTTGACTTACAATTTTTGCACATGAAATGTCCTAATGCACCTGGAGTTCAATCTTTTTAGTTCCTGCCCACATCAGCAAACTTTACCACTGCAGCATTGTTCATCTTAAGTGTCCGTTGACAGAATTAACATCTGTTATGGTCATGTGTTGCAGTATTGTGCTTAATTGCATTATTTAATATTTTCAGTGTCATTGTGCGTTTGAACAATATGTTAGAACAGATGTTCCACATTCTTCTTAACTATTCATCCCAACCACTAAAACACACTGTAACTTGTGGAAACAAGCCAAGCAAGGCAAGAGTTACACAGGGTTGACACTTCAGGGCATAGGGCAAATCCGAGAGTCCATATGTCCAATCAAACCAAATTCCAAGTTGAATCCGACCAAATTCCCCAAGATGTTGAACAGATTTTTCAGAACGACTTGCAGGACAGTTGGAATATGTAATAAAGAGTTGATGCATTTCAGCAAGGAAGTTCGTCTCCAGTGTGATCAAAGGTTAAAAAGGAGTCAGGCAAAATAGCCAGTCTGTTTGCAGTTGTATATCTGCATTTTTTGAGGATGATGTCCTCTGACTAGAGGCACAGTTATGTAATTCCTTCATTGCTTTAAATAAGCAGAAAAATGGGAAGACTACAAAATTGTGGTGTAACTTTAGGGCTAGAGAGAATCACCACTCTTTGGAAAAGGGGATTTTGCTAAAAATTCCAATTGTGATTGCTGAAGGTCAAGATTTATCATTGATTCCTAGACTTCATAAATTATTCTTTGAAAATTTGAGGCAAGAATTAGATATAACTAAAAAAACATAGGTCATGTGTCCCAGGTATCCACTATTACAAACGGTTTTAATTGTTGTAATTATATGCCAAAAATGTAATTTTAAAAGATTGTCTTATCTATAATATTTAGAGTTTTTTAATTAGTCTAAGAGACCTTTTTTGTTGTTGTTCCTACATCAAAACAAATGTGAGCCAGTAAACAGGAGAAATACAGACGACTTGTTCTCACTGTTTTGACCACATAAGTAGTACTATAAGCCGACACTCACCAAAGGCCGATCAGATTTCCACAAAGTCTACAAGATCAGCTAGCTGAAGTTACTGAAAGAGCTTGTCCTCTTTAAGATGACAGTTGAGGAGCAGACGGCATATTTCAGTTTTTGCTTTATGCGACCAATGTAATGATTGCAATCTATGACTTTTGCAATGACAATCCAGTCTGAAAGAATGAGATTTCATCCTATCCTCATTGCTTAATGTATCAATGTAGCAAAAACTGCTGCGAATGGCATATCCACAAATGCCAACGAGAACAGCAAACACCACCCTCATAAAGCTGTCTACTTAATATCTAATGACCAAGCATCCATTTTTTTCCTGCTGGGTAATCCTGCAACTATAGAACCAGACAAACAAACCGTTGTCATTGTGCCTCTATCAAACCCAGGACGTGCACAGATACTGAACTATTTTTCCAGTATTTGCTTCTAACCAGACAAGATCCTTGTCAAAAATATCAAGCTCAGTATTATGCCAAAAATGATTTTACACATGGCAAGCAGGTTGTAAAGGGGCTGGTGGCTCTCCTAGGGGTTTCTTGTTGTCAGTACGTTGCAAGCAAAGAAGGCAGAGTCGTTTGAGGCCTTTCCGAAAGGCGCTGTTCGACAGGCTGTAGATGAGACAGTTGCAAAAACTATTGCTTATGGCCAGCCATGTGGTCAGGAATGAGGCAATGGCATGGTGGTATATCCCTGCGCTCTCCAGTAAAAAGTAAATGATGTAGGGTAACCAGAGGATGTAGAACACACTGGTGATACGGAAGAGCACAGTGGCATAACGTTTGTCAGTGCAGGCTTGCTCGCCTGGCTCAGGATCCTGTGGGCCAAAGCGAGCTCTCCGCTCACTGATCTGCCGAGTGTGTTGCCGACAAATTCGAAAGATATGGGCATAGGTAAAACAAACTGTAAAAGCTGCTGGTGCATAGAGGGCCGCAACAATAAATGCAGTAAAAATAGGTTGGGTGTCCCAGGAAGAGCACCATTTAAATACATCTCCATGGTATCCTGGCTTGCCCCAACCAAAAAAAGAGGGCAAAAAGATGAGTGATGAGTACAGCCAAATAAGAATAATGCAAGTGCGAAGACGGCAGGGTGTGACAAGAGCTGTATAGGAGAGAGGTCGTGTGATGGCAACATAGCGGTCAATACTAACGCATGCCAAAGAGGCCATGGAGACACTCTTCAACACAGAGACCATGTAGCTAAAAACCATGCAGGTGAGTCTCTCATTCAAACCCTCCAGATGGTGCAGGAGGGAAAGGGAGGGGATAAGACAGCTAACCCCAACCAGTAAGTCTGCATATGCCATGGTCTGTATAAAGGAGCTAGTGGTATGGTGACTGAGTAACGGGGCACAATGGAACACAAAGATAACCACCAGGTTTCCAGAGATGATGAGCACTGTCAAGAAAAGAATAACAGCAACTTCAAGTAGACAGGTGTTAAAAATCTGGGAGTAGCCAATGTCCAGCAGGCAGAAGGGTTCTGTGGTATAGTTCAGCTCAGTTGCATTCATCTTGTTCAGGGTGCGCTTGGGCGCACAATTAGGGTGCTAGTTCCTTGGGGGCCTAGCTCAGCAAAGGCTTCCCAGAGTATGACTGTCCCTGTTAGATATGGGGGAGGTGTCCATGCCAGGTGCCTTCCATATCAGCAGCAATGGGCGACTAGTCTTCTGTGCCCACAGCAATCCTTTCACTAAAATACACACAAGCAGCTACAGTATTCCAGGGAGAGTCACTTAATGAGTAAAACACTGCTTTAGGGGGAAGGTGGTGACCGTTACTTCAATTCCATGTAAAATCCAAACAGTACCCCCTCTCTTATCAGTCTCCCACCTTAATGGGAGCAGCACAACTGCGCTTCAGCAGGACGGGCAGCTGCCGGCACAGGACGTTCAGAATTTTTTATTTTTTTTAAAAACCCACAGGAAGCCAAAATCCTTGCCACTCCGATCACAGATGTCCCAGTTGCTCGCAAACAGTTATTTGTCCAAAGAATCACACACAAAAATAGGCACAGAAGATAACTCACAAACTGTTTCTTTCCTACAAATCCCAAAAGAATGCAATCCACAGTCTTCTCTGCAACTTCATTTGTCAGTCAAATGAAGAGTGGGGAATCTCTTCAGCACGTGCCGGGCTCCCGGCTCCCTCACATCAATGTGGAGGAAGTCTGTGTGATCAAGGATAAAGGAACAGCAAGTGGTGACTGGCATTTCATATGCAGAAGGGGCTCTCCAAAGAGGAGCCAGCATCTGGAATGTAAATGAGAAATAGAATGGTGTGATGCAGAAAGCAGCCTCTCTCGCTCTGTGGCACTGATGCACCCTCGCTCCTTCCTTGCCTCTCTCCCTCCCTCTCTCCGCTGCAGCAGGAGCACACAAACTCCTCCCACCCTTGGCTCTAGCCAGTAAGCAGATGTCGGAGCACGAGCACAGAGAGGCATCCCCTTCCCTTGTCAATCCATAAAGTCCTTCATTCCGCATATACCCACCTATTAATCTCTCACAAACACAAAATTGCATTACCTTCAGATTTTTAGGCTCCCTCAAGGACGCAGTCTGTCTAATGTAAAACTAAAATTACTTGCTCTATCCTTCCTTTTCCTTTTATTCCCATCTCAATTCCAACACAACATCCCTCCCACGCACACTCCCTTTCTCCCGCCTATGCGGACACATGCAAAAAAAAAAACTGCAGGTCAGAAAACAGCCATTTTCACAAAGTCACAGAAAAAAGCCCAACTACAAGCACTTTTTACTAGAACTATTTATGATGTTATACTTTATATAATATCAATTTTAGTGTTTGCAGTTTAGGTTGATGAACACCTAGGCAACAATGTTTCTGTGGCATGATTTGTGCCAGTCTGAATTTGATGAATTGGCCATAAAAAATACAAAACATTTGCGTCTTCTTAATACGAACATACCCGTTTCTATTTATATCATGTTCAGTCTCGATTCTCTGTCACCTCTGTAACATTAAAACCACAGCACCTCTTCAGTCTCCTTTCATTCCGTCACTGCCAGAATCTGCAAACACACAGTCCCCACTTTCACGCTTTCCTCTGCCAAGCACACAAGGGGCTAAAAATAGGCTTGACTTGAAAGGTGGGGAGCAGACGACATGGTCTCATCCATTAGGAGAAGGACAATGAGGAGGAAAGGAAGAAATACAAAAGAATGAAAGAGCTCGATGCAAGAAATCAAGTGAGTTGGCAAGAGAAGACTCTTAGACTACCTGCGTCGATTGTTCTGAAGTAGGGTTCTCACAATATTGGTACTTGATACTAATCGGTTTTGAAATGCTAAAAACGTCTCGTGAACATTTAAACAATGTTGAGCGGCTTCTTAAATAGCACTGATTTACAATTGTTCACATGCTCAACAGAAATGACTGTGATTGGCTGTGATGGTCATCGGTTCACTGAACTCACCGCTGTTTACTGAGGGCGTACTCACACTATATACAGTTGCCTTGAACCGGGCCAATGCACGCTTGTGCACTCTCCAGTCACCCCCGACGGCCCGCACTCACATTACATTCGGGCCTGGGCATGCTTATGTCATCGATGATGCGCTGTTTTAAGCACTTTAGCTCACCACAGTGGAGATTTCTTTAGTTATTTCGTTTAAGTCGAGTGAGTTGCAGTGACACGTAGTCAAATCAAAGTGATCAATCACTTTTGATGCTGGTAAACAATCATAGTCTCGTGCTCACAAGTCCTCGAGCTGCAGGAATTAGGAGGTTTGCTGAAGGTGCAGCTGTCGTGCAGTGAGGGGTTTGCATCTTTAAAAAACTATGACAGTTTGCGTTGATTGAACAGTAAGAATGATTAATAAATCCATATGAAACAGTCCCTTAAAAGTCATGTCTCGCTTTCAGTTTCAGGCTCAGACACATTTTGCACTCACACTACCTGCGTACTGCACCAAAGCCCAAGTGAAACGCGCTCTGGCACACTTCTTCAAACCGGGCCAGGGCCGGCCAAGTGGACCATGCCTGCACCCGATTCAGAGCATTCACATTTCTCGATTTGGGAAACGGGCCCAGGCATAGTTCAAATAGCATAGTGTGAGTACGCCCTGAGTGTAACCAAGGCAAGGCAAGCAGAACTGGCCAGGTAACTGGAGCGTTTCAAAGTCACGTCGATCAGCTGGTTTGTCGATAAACTGACATTCGAGCGATCCGTTAATGAATCACAGATTTCAAAGACTATAGTGACCCTGTATCTGTGGTTTCACGCAGTTAACGGTGGTGAGTTTGGTAAACCGATGACCTTCACGGCCAATCACTGTCATTTCTGTTAAGCACGTAAACACTGGCAAATCAGCACAGCAATTAGAAATGAAGGTTTTTAAAGTTCCAGTACCGATTGGTATCAAATTCCAGTATCTTGACAACCTTATTCTTAGAACCACTTAAACAGTCCCTTGCAGAAAGTCGACTCCAAAACATACAGACTATAATGCAATTTGATTGTGACTTAGGATTATGTAATCCACCATTTTGACCTTTATATTTAAATTTCTGGAACAACTGGAAATTATTATATATACATTTATTATATATATATATATATATATATATATATATATATATATATATATATATATATATATATATATATATATATATATATATATACATATATACATATATATATACATATATCCCTATTAGTTTGTCTATCCTAGATGCTTTGAATTCCTGAAGGTGAGTAAGGTCGGATCACTTTTGAGCTTAATATATGTAATATAACAAGTCCAGCTGCATGCACTTCTGGACAGATGGGAAAAGTTTCTAGGATTGGCACTCTGGAAATGAAATCCTTTTTTTTGTTCTAAGAAGCTGGTGATGTCTTCTAAGTAATACACTCTTCCCTTAAATGGTGCCACGCTA